CTCTGTGAGTTCGAGGCCAGCCTGGTCTACAGAGTGAGTTCCAGGACAGCCAGGGCTACACAGAGAAACCCAGTTTAAAAACAATCCCCCTCCTCTCGCAAAAAAAAAAAAAAAAAAAAGAAATCCAGAAGCATATGGCTGTAATCATGGCACTTCAGAGGTGGGGGAAACGAAACGGGCGTTCCGTGCCAGCCTCGGCTACTGATCCGGTTCCAGGTCCTACTTCTAAAAAGAGAGAAACCACTAAGGTGGGGGAGGGGTGAAAAGAAGGCTCAGCGCTAGAGTGGGCACTTGGCACTCCTTAGCTCCGATCCCTGCTGCAGAAGAGAAAGAGATGACATATATGGAGGGGAGACAGTAGGGAGAAGGTGTTGGGAAACAAGTGTAGATGAGGAAACGGGTTACAGAAAGGTAACAAGCAAAGGTGAAATAAAAACCAAAACCGCCAGGGGCAGAACCTGTAAGAGAGGCCCGGGGAAGAATCCTCGGAGCTCCCCCCTTCCCCAAGGCTGGACAGGTCCCCTCTCCCCAGCTGCGCTTTAAATTATTAAGAGGTTTCGCTTCCGAAAACTCAAGGTTGGAATAGCTTGAGCCTTTTATTAGGGAGGAAGCTTGCCTCTATTGGAAAAACAGGGAGGGGGCACCTTCAACGTTGAATGGGTCTCTTGTAATGGAAGCCGCCTTAACTAAAGTTACAATTCTCTCGAGGACCGTTCTCCACCACTTCTGTAAGGTTTTTGTTTTTTAGCACGACCTCGTGGCTGACCTGGAACTCGCGATCCTCCAGTCCCCACCACCCAAGTAGTGTTAGGATTACAGGCTTGCCCCGCGGCCACACCCAAGTAAACAAACAAACAAGAAGTGTTACTTCAAGGTGAAAACCTGTGTTTGTGTATGGGGGTTATCATTGCTAGGGGTGTAATTACAATGCTGGGAAGTTCTTGCTCGGTGCGTTACGCACTTGTGTTGAGGTGGGGAGATTCTGCCAGGCTTCTTCTCACTGGTTTGCCTGCTCGGAGCCCGGGGGTGGGGGTGGGGTGGGGGAATCCCTGGTGCAGCGCTTTCTGGAGCCAAGGGGCCTTCCAGGGCTGATCCCGTGAGCTGGGCGGGCCGCAGGCTGCTGTGGCACGGTTGCGGCCTCCCGCTCGCCCGTGACTCACTCGCTCAGGGGGGGGGGCTTCCTGGAAGCCGTGACGAGGACGCTCAGCCCGGACGCTTGGGTTCCTCTCTTGTAACTAGGGCTCCAGTCTGTTGTAAACAGTCTCGAGGACAACGGGAAAAGAAGGGAAGGAGGGGCCAAAAAAAACCCCGTCTCCCGCCCAGTTTACAAATCCCTGAGCCAGCCGATTTTAGGACCAAACGCAAAAAATAAAAAATAAAATAAAAACGGGGTTTGGGGTGGGGCATGCTGGGGATTTTCGGAGGCCGGCTGGGTCTGGATCATGGAGAAGTAATTCCAGTTTCGATTCCCTGGAGACTGGGAGCTTTTGCCATCCCTGACTCAGCCTGGACCCCTCCTCTATCTGCTGAGTCATTGGGACTGAAGCCTGGCCTCCTGGATCTCCGATCCTCTCCAAAGGGTGCTGGGGCGGGGTCAGGGGGGGTGGCAGCGTGTTAGTATGACGATCTCTGAAAATCAGGACTTTAAGCCCGATCAGGGGCTCAGTTACTTCCTGGCACCCCCTACACACACACACACACACACACACACACACACACACACACACACACACACACACAGGAGCCCTGGCCCCCAACCCCTGGTCGGGGGTCCAGGTCCCACTTCGCCCTCCCACTCAGAGATCCAGGCCTCAACCCCTATTCTCTGGGCCTAGGAGTCGGAGGGTCCCGTCCAGCCCCCGCTTGGGTGCCCCTATCCCAGCAGGAAGTTCATGGCCGGACTCCTCCCTGCTCCCTACGTAGCCAGCTGGGAAAATCCGCGGCCCCGGCAGAGCCCGGGAATCCCCTCTGGAATGACGGCGGGGAAGGGGGTGGCCAAGGTCCTCGGGCGCACTCGGCCACGTCCTGTGCGCCTTGGGTGGGGGCTGGGGGAGCGAAAGGGGCGGAAACCAGAGAGGCTAAAAATATAGCAAGCACTTCCGGCCCGGGCGGGGGGGGGCAGAGAACGCAGAGCAGAGTTTCCAGAAAAACAAGCGGGGACGGGAAACACGGGGGTGTGAGAGCCGGTGAGCGGGTGGGCGGGCTAGGGCCAGTGTACTCGCTCGCGGCACGTGTGTGCCTGTCGCGATTGCCTGCCAGTGTGGTCCAGGCGGGGTGTTGCAGGGGCAACAGCCAGCATGCCAACCTCCAGTGGAAGGGAGGCTTGCTGCATGTGTGTGGTGGGGAGTCTTTAAATACCAAGGTGTGCAGTTGGGGACTTGGGACCGGGGCGGGGGTGGTGGTAAGCCTGTGACCCACCCGTGCTTAAGGGTACCCATTGAGCAGGACCCTGTAAGTCAATGTGAAGCCGCCTGTCCGGGCCATGTGTGCTGCAAGTGGCCCCCTGGAGGATTGTCAACTGTAACTGCTGCAGCTGTCTTTGAGGGGCTTCACGGGAACCGTCACTTTCACCCCACCCCCACCCATCTGTGTGTAACTGAACTGCTGTGGCATCTGGGGTGGCTTAACGGGTGTCGTTCCTCGCAGGTGCCTGGGTGATGATGGGATTATGCACGTAGAACCTTGAGGTAGAGTGTGGGCTTTCTGTGGCTCGGCACTGTTATGCTATGTATGAACAGTATTTGTGGGTCTGCGTCCTTGTTTGTGGCCGTCTTGGAGGTTGCCTGTCCCTGACGATGTAGTAGACCTGAGTCTGGACATAGTTCCTGTGGACCAGTCACGAGGCAGTGAAACCAGCGAACTTTGGCGCCTGACGTAGCAGCAGCACATGATGGGGTGCGTTGAGTTGCGCTCCTGTGCCTGCCTCCGTGGGCAGAACAGATGCGCGCACACCCGCACCTAGATGCTGAGTGTCTGAGCCAATCTTATCTGTCCCCAGCGAATGAGGCAGCGCTGCCACAGAGCTGAGTCAGCCTGTGATGGGCAAAGTCTTGATGGGGTGCGGAGATAGCGGGTTAAGTGGTGGTTGCAGGGTTCGGTAGTCACGTGGGTAGATGGTTGCTTTAGTCCTTGCTCATGGAGCAGGGTCCATGTGTGTGGGCGGATGGCCAGTGTGCTGATCCCTGCTGGGGGTGGAGCATGTGCCCATGGTCAGCCTGTAGACATGAGGAGCATTCTGGCCTCAAACCTGCAGCAAGCCTCCTACTTCTGCCTCTCCAGTGCTGAGATTACAAGCATGAACCACTGTGGCTGGCTCTGTGGTTTTTCATCTTATACACACCCCTCCCTGGTGTGGGCTTTTGCACAGACCTGTACAACTTCCCTGTGCCCATAGGGCTGGGAAAAGGCCCTCATGACCCGTCCAGGCTTCCTCCCCTGTGCTATCTGGTTTTTGTTTTTTTGTTGTTTCGAGACAGGGTTTCTCTGTGGCTTTGGAGGTTGTCCTGAACTCGCTCTGTAGACCAGGCTGGCCTCTAACTCAGAGATCCGCCTGCCTCTGCCTCCCGAGTGCTGGGATTAAAGGCGAGTGTGTGCCACCCAGGTCCAGCCCCGTGCTCTCTGAACCTAGCCCAAACCTCTTCACTCTCAAGAGCGCCACCATTGCCCGAGGTTGCCCAGGGCTCTGCAGTTCCCCACTCTTTTGCAGGAGGTATTCCTAGATCCCAATTTCCTGTCTTTAAGTCTGCTCTTACCTGCCTAGGAAGGTTTAACAGATGGGCTTGTGATTCTGCCCAGGCTGGTCTCAACCCATCCTCCCGCCTCAGGCTCTCAAATGCTGGTACGAATGAGGCCACTAACCCCTTCTTTTTTAAACAAGTATGTGAAGGTCAGAAGAAACTTGTGTCAGTTCCCTCCTTCCAACACACAAGTCCCAGGGGTTGGACTTAGGTCGCCTTGCTTGCTAGCAAGTGTGGTTACCCACTGAGCTACCTCAATGGTTCAGACACTCACCTCTTTTCTCTCTGGCGACAGGATCTCACTATGCAGCCCTGTCTTGTACTGGTTCACCTGCACGCTGGAATCACAGTCTTATGTACTGTGTTGCATCTTGTTAATCTCTAGGAGTGTAGAAACCCGTGCTCACGTTGCACAGGGCCCTACAGCAGCCATATCATGTCTGTAGGGCCATCTCTAGGAGTGTAGAAACTCTTGCTCATGTTGTCTGGAGGGCCACCTGTACCTGTCTTCTTGTAGCACAGCCTGTCACATCCTAGCCAATACATGGTGTGAGCCCTGGTCGGGAACTGATGTGCTGTCTCGGACAGGGTTAGTGTTTTCAGTCGTATGCAAGATCACTACATCCCTGAGCCATTTCTAGAAACAAAGAATGGTCGAGGACGTGTGCTGGCTGTCTGATGAGTCTGACGTGTGACTCTGGGAAGTGGTTTCAGTTATCAGTCATATGGACGTCTAGGTGTTGCTGAGGCTGGCTTATCTCTTTTGGCTGAGATGAGGGTTTACTATGTAGCCAGGTGTCTGAGGCATTTTGGAAGTGTAGTTAAAGCAAGGGGCACAGCCCTGTCATCCTGGGAGTTGTGGGCCTGAAGCAGGCTCCCAAGTTCAAGGCGAGCTTGGGCTACACAATGAGAACATGGTGGTCAGGATCGAATCTGTAACTGTATGAGGAAGAGGGAGGGGAAGACAAGACAATCACCTGGGAGTGCCTAGGCCAGCTAGCCTGGAGTGTGGTACAGGAGAAACAGGATGACGAGGGACCCTCCCTGCCTTGAGCTAAGAGAGGAGAGAACTGCCCCCCCCAAAGGCCGTCTCCACACATGGGTGCCCCTTCCATGTCCACACACACAGAGGATCTAGTCACAACGCTTGCAGGTCGAGGCAGTGGGCAGCTGAGTTGGATGCCAGCCTGGACTATATTGTGAGGCTGGTCTAGGCTATGGAGTGAGACCGTCTCTACAACCCCAAATAAAAAGAAATCAGGCTCAAGATCAGTGACTTTTATCCCAGTGGCCAGGGGAATTGGAGGGAGGGGGATGACAAACGGGTAGAGCTCAGGTTTCCTGGCACTGAAGGCAGGCAGAAGAGGAATGCCTCGGCAGGGTCTGCTCACTTGATGGCTTTACAGAGTTCCCAGGGTGGGGTCTCTGGGTTTTTGCAGGCACAGGGTCCAGTTCATGAGGTGACTGGTTGGTGACATGGGACTCGGGGCACAGAAGGTATTCGGTGGGGGCAGTTCCCCAAGCATTCTGTCACTCCAGCCTTTCACAGACTGCTGGGCCTGGGTTGGTAGCTCCCCAAAGTCCTTGGGAAGTGGGGTGCCTGTGGGGTTCTCCCTCCTTCCCTGAAGCCCCCTCTCCAGGACCTGTTTCCCGGAGGAGCTGGGTTCTTCCCCAGAACCCATGATTCATTCCTGCTGGGGCCTTTTCACTTCTGCTTTGGGGCTAAAAATACAGACCTAGGAGTCCCTCTGAGCAGGCCTCGCCACACATTGCACAATGCTGTCCGCTAGAGCTCTGCTGACGCAGGGACCAGTTGGGACCCAAGCTGCTCCCAGGTTGTGTGTGCTGAGGTCAGACTTTACATTTCTGCACTTCTCCTTTTCCTGGAGCCCCAGGTAACCATCATTTTAGTTCCCCTTATGGTAGAGAGGCAGGAGTGGGGGAAGGTGGGTTAAAAAAAAGAATGCATATACTGGGAAGGACTGAGGAAGGTCTAAAGGACCATCAGGGCCAAACCCAAGGCCAGGTGGGACACGGAGGTAAGGGAGGAGGAAGAGTCCTTGGAACAGAGGTCGTCAGAGGCCCAGCTGGGAGGTCCATCCTAGCACAGGGAGCAGAGGGGAGTGCAGAGCTGTGCTGCCTGCAGATCTCTGCTGCCCCCTGCTGGTTATAGCAACATTGCTCTGGCATGACAAATCAGAAACAGGGGCCACCTGTTTTGCCTTAGGCCACACTTCATTCTCTCTGTCCCAGCCCCTACCAAGACCTCAGAGGCTGCCCCCAGGGCCAGTGGAGGCTGCAGTGGTCTTGCCCGTGACCTTGTTGGCACAGTCCAGCAGGGCAGTGTGAATGTCCTTGGCACAGGTGATCTGGGCTTTGATGACAGCCAGGTACTGAGGATAGGGCAAGCTGTCTGGCTGTACCGCATCTGGCTTGGTGGCCGTGGGTACCAGCGTCGGAGAGTGCTTGGCGCTGTCACAGCTCTGTGAAAGGCATTCGTGGGCCAGGCGCTGTGGGAAGGTAAGAGAACAGCAACAGCATCATTTGTGGGGAGCTGCAACCACACCGACCACTCAACCTGGGCCAGGCCGATGGTGGGCTCGGGGCTCAGCGGTCAGTGTCCGGTCCTGCCAGCCTCTTGCTGGACCATCCAGGACATGTGTCTCCTTCTCACTGCGCCTCAGTCACTAAGTCACAGACTTGCTACCCTACTTTATCCTCCTGAGAGCTAGGATTAGAGTATTCACAACCCGGCTGGTGAGACAGATGGCTCTGTAGGAAAGCCACTTGCTGCCAAGTCAGAAGGACTCTGCTCTACTTCCCCAGGACTCACATAGCAGAAGGGAAGAAAACAAGCATGCCTTGCCCACAATAAAATGTAAGACTTTCAAAAAATCATCAGTGCAACACCGTGCTCAGTTCCTTAGTAGGCTGAATGGCCACCTCTCATCTGCTGAGAATGGGTAACAGGCATGTGAACAGGTAAAGGTGCCACTGTTTTAAGTACTGACTCCCTGATGGCCCCTGCCTGGTGGCTGTCCTCTCCCGTCTCCTAGGGGTGGTACTCTATCCTGGTTCCCTTCCAAGGCTGCCACCCGCCCCTGCTCAGGTCCTCTGCTACACCTCTGCTTCCAGCCTCTCCCCAAACTGCTCCTCCTCGCGCGTCCTTGATAGAGCTGACTCCCTTGACAGCAGCCCTCCTAATCTAGCTAATGTAACATCTCACAACAAAACTCCCTCTAACTGTTATATGTGCCAGATGCAGTGTCCTTCCCAAACTAGACAGTGCTTGCTGAGGCCAGCAGAAACCCTGGTAAGAACCAGGCATAGGGACAACCCTCCCCTCTCTCACACACACACACACACACACACACACACACACACACACACACACACACACACACACACACACACAAACACACAGCTGCTGGCTGGGTGGGAGGGTTGGATTTTGCAGGGGTGTACCTGGCTCATGGTACCCACCCGCCATGTGGCTAATGAACTCCTACCACCAAGCTGTACTATGAACCTGGCTTTAGTTCTTGTACCCTCTTTAAGGGGTAAAGAGCTCCAGATATCATCTAACACCCTTCTTAATTCCAACCACAGCCCTGGCCCTCCCCCTGGAAAGCCCTTCAACAGTGATTAGTCTGCCGGCCTGGCAAAGCCTCCAAGCTTCTATCTGCCCCGCTCCTCCCTCGGGCTCCACCGTGACCGCCTCCTCGGGCTCCACTCCAGTCTCAGCTGTTTTGTTTGTTTGTTTGTTTTTATTTTTGTGTGTGTGTGTGTGTGTTTGAAGATAAAGCTTCTCTGTGTAGCCCTGGCTGTCCTGGCACTCTCTCTGTAGACCAGGCTGGTCTTGAACTCAGAGATCCGCCTGCCTCTGCCTCCCGGGTGCTAGGATTAAAGGCGTGCGCCACCACCGCCTGGTTCAGCAAGTTTTTAACATGCCCTTCATTTCCTAAAAAGAAAATGGATCACAGCTATTCCTTACTTAAAACCCTCCATCACTTTCCAGTGCGCTTGGGTTACACCCAGAGTCTACTGAGGCCCAACCCACACACTTGTCAAGTCTACTGACATTCCTAAGAATGACTGGTCAGTGTGGTACTAGGGAATCAATCTACAGCTTTACTTGTGTTAGGCAAATGCTAACACACAGCTATATCACCAGTCTTACTTTTCTTTTTTTGAATCAGGCTTTGCTGTAGACCAGGCTAGCCTGGAACTCATGGTAGTCCTCCTGTATCAGCCTCTCCATTGTTTGTTTTTTTTTTTTCTTTTCAAGAGGGTTTCTCTGTGTAAGCTTTGGAGCCTGTCTTGGAACTCACTTTGTAGACCAGGCTGGTCTTGAACTCACAGAGCTCTGCCTCCTGAGTGCTAGGATTAAAGGCATGGGCCAACAACGCCTAGCCAGTCTCTCAATTCTTAAGATTACAGACATGAGTCACCATGCCCAACTCTTCTGTTTTACTTAGAACAACAACAAACAAACAAACAAAACTTTATTTTATGTGCACGGGTAATGAAGATGTCGGATCCCCGGGAACTGGAGTTACAGACCATGTGAGCTGCCATGTGGGTGCTTGGAATAGAACCCGGGTTTATCTGGAGGAGCAAGATCTCACCTACTCACCCAGACAGGTCTTGAATTTTGACCCTCCTGCTTCAGCCCCTGTAAGCAGCTGTGGAAATAGGTCTATACTAGAAGGCTTGGTCCCTTAGGGGAATTTGTGTGTGGTTGAGACTGCATGGTCAAAGGTCAACCTCCTACGTTGTTCCTCAGGATCAACCCCCCCCCATGGGATCTTCTACTGGGCCCTGGAGCTCGCTAATTAGGCTGGGCTGGCTAGCCACTGAGCCTCCAAGATTAAGATTGTCCCCACCTCCCCAGCATTGGATTACAGGCATGTACGGCCATGGCCAGTTTTCTGTGTGGCTGGTAGGAATCGCACTTAGGTCCTTACTGCTTGCACAGCAAACACTTTCCACCCCCACTTCTGCCTCAGTGCTGCTCCCCATTTCCCCCTGAGCCTGGCCTGCTTCACTGCCTGCCCATTCAAGTCTCCAGGGTTTTGCCCTAAACCAATCAGCCAAAGTTATAGCCTGAAGCTCATGCTCACATCATAGGTCCCCAGTCCCCCTGTCAGGTCAGGTCCTTGCTGCCCTTCCCGCTGGACTGCCAGGCGGGATTCCGTGTTTGACAGCAGCCTCCTGAGAAGAGTCACTGCAAGTTCAAGGCCTGCCTGATCTACGGACTAGTGTTAGGAGAGCCTGTACTACTGAGTGGTACCATCTCAAAACAGCTTAAAAACAATGCTCTTAGCTGGGTGGTGGCGCACGCCTTTAGTCCCAGCACCTGGGAGGCAGAGGCAGGCTGATCTCTGTGAGTTTGAGGCCAGCCTGGTCTACAGATCCAGTCCCAGGTTAGATAGCCAGGGCTGATACACAGAGAAACCCTGTCTTCAAAAATCAACCAACCAACCAAAAGATTTTCTTGTGGGGGAATCGAGCAGAGTTTGGTCACAGAGTATCTAAAGAATTCCTTACCAAGCAGAGTTCCAGCTGATCACAGAGAGCATAAAACTCCTCCAGACACTTGTCAAATCGCTGTATGGGTCCATCACTGCTCTTTCTACAGCCAAGGAGAAAAAAAAGGCTGTTTGGGGAGTGATTTCTAATCCTGGGGACACCAGCATCAGTATATGACTAATGAAGCCCAGGCCCAGGGGTTCCAGGCAGGGTTTGAAAGGAGGGGGCAGGGCAGGGGGAGAGAGGTTTCTAAGGTGAGGGAGAGAGGGGCTTTACTCACTGTCCGTTGTCAATGTTAGTGTTCTGAATCAGGTTCTGGGCTGCAACCTTCATCAAAGTCTAGTTTTAAAAGAATAACGAGAGAACAGTAAGACGCAGGAGATCAAGTCCTACAAGGAGGTTCTACACTCTTGAGATCCACAGGCCTGCTTTTCAGCTAGCCCCTCCAAACCCACAGAAATCTCTACCGGTATTTTCTTTTCTTTTCTTTCGTTTTCCAAGACGGGGTTTCTCTGTATTGTTTTGGAGGCTGTCCTGGAACTCGCTCTGTAGACCAGGCTGGCCTCGAACTCACAGAGATCCACCTGCCTCTGCCTCCCGGGTGCTGGGATTAAAGGCGTGCGTCACCACCGCCCGGCTCCACCGGTATTTTCTTAGAGGCTTGATCTCATTTGGAATTCTGCCCAGTAATTTCCTAGGCATACCCTTGCCCCAGACAGCACAGCCAGAAACGACGCGAAGGCCGGTCTTCTGCACGGGGTTACCGACCAGAGCCGTTTCTCCCCATAAACTCACTCACTACTCCCACTCCACACCTCCCTTGGTGTTTCCAGACAGGGTTTCTCTGTGGCTTTGGAGCCTGTCCTGGCACTCGCTCTGTAGACCAGGCTGGCCTCGAACTCACAGAGATCCGCCTGCCTCTGCCTCCCGAGGGCTGGCATCAAAGGCCATCACCGCCGAACAGAGCCTCGCTTTGGTCAGACACGCACGCACGGACACACGCACACCCCACGTTTCGCCTCTCTCCCTGCCTGCCGTCTCTCCCCCAGCACCTCGGCGCACGTCCTCGAAGCCAGCCCGGCAAACCCGCTCGCTCCCCGCCGCGAGCCGTCCGCCCGTCACCTGGAGGCTCTCCTTCAGCTGCGGGATGAGCATCTTGTAGCGCTGCACAGGGTCGAAGTCCTGCTGCTGCTGCTGCAGGAGGCCACTCTGCGCCGCTCCCACCAGCTGCGCCGGCTGCGGCTGCGGCTGGGGACCCGGGCCACCGGCAGACCCCGGACCCGACACGCCCGCCGCGGCCGAGGAAACCGCCGAAGCCTGCGGCTGGGGCGCAGCCATTTTCCTCAGGTGGGACGCCGGATGTGCGTCACGAGCGCGTCCGCTCCTGTCTCTCTTCTGCCTCTTCGGTGCGCGGGGCCTTGGTTGCTGGGTAGCCCCGCCCCCAGGCAGCTTAGCCAATGAGAGGAGGGGATGTGGGTTCGCCTCCGCCGTCTTAAAGCCGAAGGCGGTGACTGGGAAAATTGTCCACCAATCGGAAGAGCTGTTCTCCCGTGGCCACGCCTATCCTCCTCAGCCTGCCAATCGCCGTGAGAGGCTGAGCGCACTCTCTTTCCCCGAAGGCCTTGCGGCCCGAGGCTACCTGTCCGGGTCGTCGGCGCCTCGGTGGCTGTTGGAGCGGCCGCTGCGAGCCTGCGTCCGCGCTGCCCGCGCTTTTGCTGGAGTCTCGTCCGAGCTCTTCCCGCCACCCCGCCCAGCCTCTCCCCGGGAGCCCCGGCGCCCACCGGGGCCTGTCCTCAGCTCCGGCGTCTCTCGAAGTCGGCACGCCCCTCGGCGTCGGCCCGCGGCCAGCGAGGACGCGATCCGCGCCGCCGTCGCCTGGTCGCGATGGCGCCCACCATCCAGACCCAGGCCCAGCGGGAAGATGGCCACAGGTAGGCTGTGTTGTGCGCCGCCAGCCCTGGCCGAGGCGTGGGTGCCGCTCGCAGCGTCGCCGCTTCGCTCGGGTCGGCCCGCGGTGTCGCTGGTTGGTGCAGCGCTTAACCCCGACGGAGGGGTGGCCCCTCCAGGCCTCCGGGTCACTCCCCGGGCCCCAGCCACGTCGGGGATCCTCAGGAAGGGACCTGGCGCTCAGTCCCCTTCGGGGAGCGTGCGGGGCTCGTGCTCGGGGGGCCGGGGGTCTGGCTGCATTCACTAAAGCGCCACTCCTTCAGAAATGCGGGGAAGCCTCTTTCCGCACACCTGTCAAACTCCTGACACCGGTCTCTTTCTCAACCCCTCCCAGGCCCAATTCCCACCGGACCCTGCCTGAGAGGTGAGCCCCGCTACGTTTTCCGAGAGGGGTGGGACACAGACGCTGGCAGCATTGGCAGGGCGGTAGGGGCCTGCGTGTGTGTGTGTGCGTGCTTTTGAGCGTCTCATCAAGTGACCCAGAATGACCTCGAACTCGTTATCTTGGTGCCTCAGCCTCCTGGCTGCTGGGATCTCAGGCCTGTGGCAATGCCCAGCAGCAGAGGCCTAGTTAAAAAAAAAAAAAAATAGTGTGCGCAGCCCTTAACTGTGTGGCAGTCAAGACTTTTAGTAACTTCTTTCCTTCCACACTACAGGTATAGGTCTGAGAGGTTAAACTCAGGTTCTAGGCGTGACAACAGATGCCTTTGCTTACCGATGCATCTTGCCAGCCTGAGACTGCTGGGGTTGTTTTTTTTGTTTTTTCGAGGCAGGGTTTCTCTGTGACTTTGGAGGCTGTCCTGGAACTCACTCTGTAGACCAGGCTGGCCTCGAACTCACAGAGATCCACCTGCCTCTGCCTCCCAAGTGCTGGGATTAAAGGCGTGCGCCACCAACACCCGGCTAGGAGTAATAATTTTTAAAACAACAGTCTCACCGGGTGTTGGTGGCGCACGCTTTTAATCCCAGCACTCGGGAGGCAGAGGCAGGTGGATCTCTGTGAGTTCGAGGCCAGCCTGGTCTACCGAGCGAGTTCCAGGACAGCCTCCAAGACAATACAGAGAAACCCTGTCTCGAAAAACCAAAAATAAATAAATAAATATTATTCCTATTATTTTACAAGGCAGAGTTTTGTGACTGTCCTGGCTGTCCTGGAATTCACACTGTAGACCAGGCTGGTCCCAAACTCAGATCCACCTGCCTCTGCCTCCCGAGTGCTGGAGTTAAAGGCAAGTGCCACCACTGCCTAGCATTTTTGTGAGATAGTTCTGCTGGCCTGGAATTCACTATGTCAAGCATCACTAGCTAAGCTCCCAGTGATCTACCTCCCAAGTGCAGGAGGTAAAGGACTGTGCCACCGACTCCAGCTGTTCCTGTTATTTCCTCATTAGGTGTATGTGTGTGTTTGTGATATCTCTGTCGACACAGGCCACAGGTGTCGGACCCCCAGATCTGCAGTTACAGGTGGCTGTCAGTAGTCTGATGTGTGTTCTAGGAAGCAAACTTGGGTCTGATACAGGATAAACACTCCCTCCTCACTGCCAAGTCCTTTCTGAGGCCTGTGCGGCCTGATTCTGAGCCACCACTCCCTAGGTCTGGAGTAGTCTGCCGAGTCAAGTACTGCAATAGCCTTCCTGACATCCCATTTGACCCTAAGTTCATCACCTACCCCTTTGACCAGAACAGGTAAGACTGAGCTCAAGGATGGAGCAACTGCTGAAAAGTAGTTCCCTGAAGGTAAGGACCGCTCATTTCACTGCATCTCCATTCCTGTGCCCGCACACACGAGCTCGAGAAATACTAACAGAGAAGGCAGCTTGTGGTACCCTTCTGAGAAGCCAGTGCTTGAACATTGCTTACTCAGTTCTTCTCCATGGAGACTTAGCTTCTAGGAAGGGAGGATGTGGGGAGTGAGGGAGGATCAGGAAATTATAACAGGCATGTCTTCCTACCCAGGTTTGTTCAGTACAAAGCAACTTCCTTGGAGAAACAGCACAAACATGACCTTTTGACTGAGCCAGACCTGGGGGTCACCATTGATCTTATCAACCCCGACACCTACCGCATCGATCCCAATGGTGTGTGGGGAGACAGGGAGGGTCTGCTGGAGGCCAGCAAAGACCAGGCCTGGGCATCCCTCACAGTCCCGCCCTCAATCCTTAGTTCTCCTGGATCCAGCTGATGAGAAGCTTTTGGAAGAGGAAATTCAGGCTCCCACCAGCTCTAAGAGGTGAGGTGGTGCTGGGTAACTGGGTGGGCTCTGCCAAGCACGGGACCTTGAGGTGCCTGGTCTCCTACTGCAGATCCCAGCAGCACGCGAAGGTGGTGCCATGGATGCGGAAGACAGAGTATATCTCCACGGAGTTCAACAGATACGGCATCTCCAACGAGAAGCCAGAGGTCAAGTAAGTCACACACAGGTGGAGGGAAGGGGGCCAAACTTCCGACAAGCCCAGAGGCCCCTAATGACTTTCTCTTGGCTCCTAGGATTGGGGTCTCTGTGAAACAGCAGTTCACAGAGGAGGAGATATACAAAGACAGAGACAGCCAGATCACAGCTATTGAGAAGACTTTTGAAGACGCCCAGAAATCGGTAATTGTGGGAATGGGAGAAAAGCCAAAGTGTGGCTGGGGTCTTCTTCTTTCTCACCCTTTTTGTTCTGCCAGATCTCCCAGCATTACAGCAAGCCCCGCGTGACACCAGTGGAGGTCATGCCTGTCTTCCCGGATTTCAAGGTCAGGCTTGGGTGGGAGGCAGGGGCAAACTCCCGTGCCTATGTAATCCAGACTAACTTCAGTGTCTTCCATTCCTAGATGTGGATTAACCCGTGTGCTCAGGTCATTTTTGACTCAGACCCAGCCCCTAAGGACACGAGTGGGGCAGCTGCATTAGAGATGATGTCTCAGGCCATGATCAGGTCAGTGGGTCTGGTTCTTGTCTCTCCCTCATTTGGGTGTACTTGAGCTAGGGTATGACCCTGTTGCCCAGGCTGACCCCCAGCTCCTGGCATTCCTCTTGCCTCAGCCTCTGGAAGGCTGACTTTCCAGGCATGCATCACCACACCCAGTTGTTTTGTTCTCTCTCTCTCTTTCGAGACTGGGTTTCTCTGTATCAGTTCTGGCTGTCCTGGAACTCGCTCAGATCAGGCCTGCCTCTGCCTCCCAGGCTCCCCCCCCCCTTTTGTTACTTCTTTGCTTTTAACCTTTACTCTCTTCTCCCCACAACCAGGGGCATGATGGATGAGGAAGGGAACCAGTTCGTGGCTTATTTCCTGCCTGTGGAAGAAACACTAAAGAAACGGAAACGGGACCAGGAGGAAGAGATGGACTACGCACCAGATGATGTGTAAGGTTAAGTTTTGGGAGTTGAGAAGTACGTCCCCTTTACTCTTCAGGAGCAAATGGGCTAACCGTGTACCTCCACCTCAGGTATGACTACAAGATTGCTCGTGAATACAATTGGAATGTGAAAAACAAAGCCAGTAAGGGCTATGAGGAGAACTATTTCTTCATCTTCCGAGAGGGCGATGGGGTTTACTACAATGAGCTGGAGACCAGGTACTCAGCACGGTTTTACTAATTTGGCCTTGTATTTAATTTTTTAGTTTTTCAAGACAGGGGTTCTCTGTGTAGCCTCGACTGTCCTGGAAGTCACTCTGTAGACCAGGCGGGCCTCAAACTCAGAGATCCACCTGCCTCTGCCTCCTTAGTGTTGGGACTAAAGGTGTGCACCACTAGTATTTTTCTGACCCTGTGTTTTTGAGGCCACACATTTGCTGCATTCATAAGCAGCAGAAGTCAGCTTATGAATGTGGGCTTGACCTGACTCTGGTTCTAATACCAAAAACCAGAAAGAAAATGTTTACATAACACAGGATATAAATATGATCATTTTTCTCACACATGCTAGGCAAGTGCCCTGCTTTTAAGATACATCCCTCATCTCAACAGTTTCACTAACTTTTGTGTATGTGATTTGTGTTGAGTGGAGGCCAGAGGATTGCTACCAGGTGTCTTCCTGTTGCTCTTTTATTTTGTGTGCATGCATATGGAAGTCAGGGTGAATGCTCCCTCCACCACGGCACCTCACCAACTGAGTCACCTCCCCCAGCTTCAGCAGGTTTCAAGTGAAATGCTTGACACAGCTTTCAAAACTCTTCTCTGAGGGCGGAGCACTAACTTGTCATGTTGCCTGTGGTTTGAGTCTCTGTTGAGCACAGAGATGACAGGTTCTGATCATGTAGTTGGGCTGAAGGTGTGAGAACAGGCAGGGTGACAGCACTAAGTGACTGTTACAGTTCAGCTTCCGTCTACTGTTGCTACGTCCTTCCTATTTAAATTTTCCACTTCCTTGTTTTTAAGAGTTGGGTAAGGGGCCTTGGGAAATTGCTTAGCAGTTCTTACATAGCAGCTAACAACCGCCTGTTAACACTAGTTGC